AGACTGAATGCTAGTGTCTTCTAAACATCATATTAAATGAAGACAAAACTTATGCACGAAGGAGAAAAGATAGCTCTGTTTCCTTCACACTTGATTCGCAGTTTACAAAGTGCATAGTAAAAATTCCACTGATAATTAATTGCAAGCCCTTTGGTCATATGTCTGAGACAATGAAGTTATATATGAGCAACAAAAATGGCACTTCCTGTGGATCTGTAATATTTCAATATAAAAAGTGGAAAAACAGGCCATCTTTGTGCAGGAGATATTCAGTGCCACACACTTGTAATTTGGCAACTTCCTCACTATAAGTCTTTAAGTGGGAAAATAACCAACCAACCAAAAGAGCACTTCAATCTATTTTCCTCTCTTGTTTAACTTACAACTTTCAAAATAATTCACACCAATGATGCAATGAGTCAAATGGGTATTGTTACAGGAAATGTCCAGGCTTTCCAGTATAATAAAATAATAGTTACCTTTCATTTTCTATTTTCTGGCACTTTAATAAATCTATAATAGTCAGTGATATTTATCATAACATTAAGAGGCTGCAAGATCTTGAAATTATTCCTGAATGGCAAAAAAAAAGAATGTTCAAAAATGTTCAGTTATTTGAAGATGATCTCACTGTTAAGTCTGTTGTTTTTCTCCATACTTTTCATTATGAGAATGTTCATACATACTGAAATGTTAAAATTACACTGTCCTATATTAAATAATTTGCCACATTTGTTTTCCCTTTTCATCTTCCCATATGTTCCCACACTCATACATAACATACTTTTTGTTGTTGAATAATTTGAAAGCAAATCATATGATGCTGACAGATATGTATTTTAATGTATTCTAATTCTTTCAAATGTATCTATATATAAAGTACATCATGTAATATCCATATATAAAATAAATATTAACACAAACACGTTTTTCTTATTGTTTTTACATGTTAATTTCTCACAAGGATTGTTTGGGTTTTTGTTTTTTTTTTAGTGAAAATGCCCAGTTTTCTAACATGAGAATTGATTCATGTTTATTATCAGTATTAACTCCATCCTGTACCTGACCACCAATGCATGTGTCCTATCTTAAATAATTACCTTGCAACTTTCTTTTGGATAATAGCTGCCCTAACAAGAGTAAAGTGACATCTCATAGTGGTTTTGATTTTCATTCCCCTGATGACGAAGTTAAATCTTTGCAAATAAATGAGGATAAAACTCAACCTAAACTGGATCAAAATCTTAGACATTAGAACATAGACCCTATGACTAAAAGAAGAAAAATTTGGCCCAAATCTTCACCTCCATAGATTTAGGAACTGACTTCCTTAGCAAGACTCCTAAAACGCAAGTAAAATCAAGAAACAATAAATGGGATGGATTCAAACTAAAAAGCTTCTTCTCAGGAAAGGAAAGAATCAATAACATGATTTTCCATGTGAAACCAGTGCTTTGATTTATATTCTTATAGATAAGTCATGGCATTTTCTGTCACCTAGACATTTGAGAGACTAACTGATTCTCAAAGATGAGTTCTCTTTTTTTCAAATGGAAAATAAGTCCATTATTGCTAGTATAACCCAAAACTTCCTAAAATATTAAGCTGTGAGAAAGAAATTTAATATTGGTAAATTTATCAAAATTTAGGTTAACTCTCATTTAAAAAAGTACTTAAATAGATCCCGAGAAAGGCAATTAACATGATCAAAGAATTAACTTTAAAAAAGATAGGAGGGGTGGGGGTGTAACTTAGTGGAAGAGCACTTGCCTAGCATGCAAGAGGTCCTAGGTTTGATCCCCAATATAGGGAGAAGGGAAGAGGGAGGAAAACTTTTACATTAACTTTATTACCACAAATGGGATGAGATTTCTCAGGTTAATTAACTTTTGAATATGATGTGTTTTACTCATCTCCATATAACATATTGCATGTAACATTTTGAAATTCACCTTAGAGGTCCTGCTTGAAGGATAGTACTATGGGTAGAATTGTTTCTGCCTCAAAAATATATATCACCTTAACTGCCAGTACCTCTGAATGTGAACTTACTTGGAAATTGTGTTATTGTAGATGTAATTTGTTGAGATAGGGCCATGCTGGAATAGAATAGGTCTCTTAACTCAATTGTACAGGTACCTTATAAGAAGAGCAAGATTTGGACACAGACATTCAGAGGAAGACACACAGAAAGAAGATGGCCACATGATAGGGGACGGAGGCAGAGATCAGACTGATGGAATACCAAGGATTGCTGTCTCTCTTCAGAAGCTAGGTGAGGGATGTGGAACAAAAAATGAACCCTACCAACACTTTGGCTTTGGATTTCTAGCATCCAGAACTGTGAGAGGATACATTCATATTGTTTGTAGTTTTTTTTGTTATGCTACCCTTGGGAAACTAAGATAGATAGAGAGAGAAAGAGAGAGAGAGAGAGAGTAGATGGAGGAAGGCAGACTAAGATTAAGATTCCGGCCTATTAGGTTTAGGTGTAGGCATAAAATGAGTTCTTCAGAACCTAGACTTAAATAATATAGTGGTCCTATTAGTTTTAAGTGAATCACATAAAATTGTTATTTTCGGGGCTGGGATTGTGGCTCAGTAGTAGAGTGCTCACCTAGCTAGCACTGGGTTCAATCCTCAGCACCACATAAAAAATAAACAAACAAACAAATAAATAAATAAAATAAAGATGACTATGTCCAACTACAACTAAATATACATATATATATAATATTATATGGATATATAAATATGTTTAAATATTTATATAATATATAAATATTAATGAGAAAATAATATATATTTATATAATTACATATAAAATAGATATTATATATAAGTATATAATATGCAAATATATAAGCCATTTTCATAGGGCAAAAATGAATTAATAGACAAAACTGTATTATATTCAACTTAATAGATGGATACATAAATAATTTAAGTTTCCCCAAACCCCTTTTCATCTTCAGCAGCAAACCCATTGTGGAATTGTCTAGGAAAATATTTCCCCTGCATGACTTTCCCTCTATAAATAGCTTTTCAGAGTCCATTCATTTCATTTAGCTAAGGAAGTTTCCGTCTCCATGACCCATATAGAATTAAACACTAGAGGCAATCGCTGGGCAAGGTTTTGCCTGCTCTCTCTCTCATTTGCACATCGCTGTGCACAGTTTATCCTAGAAGACAATACTGGGGATTCCATCTCATTTACATTCAAAGCTAAGGTTCCTCCAGGGGAATTTTTTTTTTTTTCTCATTCCATTTGGCACAGCAGTAACTGTGTTTGACAACATCTGCCTTACAGCTCCATCTGACACTTGGTTCCCGTCCACATTCTCTTCCTGCTTGTCTTTTGAGGAAGATATTTTCACAACAGAGGTGGAAAGAAGGAAAGTAAGGGTGAACCACGGCTGTATTTTTTCAATTAATATGAGTCAGGAGCTTACCAAACATCTTTACCTATCTCTTACTCCAAAGGTTGTTGACATAAATCACTATTCTCTAAACCAGCCTTTTTTTTTCTTTGGGATTCTTGAGCATTCACAAGTAATTTCTGGTGTTTATTTCCTTGACTTTCAAATATCTATCCCTTCATAAAATGTTTTCAGCTAAAAAAGTAAAACACAAAACAACACACACACAAATTTTACCAACAATGTTTTTGATCAACAAAAGATAGAACTCAGTTTAATGATATTTTGTATAAACTACTGATAAAGCACAATTTGTTTTCATAACAAGTAGATATTTAATAGGACATTCTTTTCCATAAATTTTTAAATAATCTTTCACTCAGATAAATTATATAACTAATGGAAAATTCCAAACCTTGTAAATATTAACTTGTATAATTATCTACTCCAAACAGAATTTTCATAACATAGAGTTTACTAGTAGCAATTGCCTGTGAATTATTACCTACTTTGATTAAACTAGGGTTTTTTTTGTTATTGTTATTTTGATATGGCTTTAAATTCTAACAGATTGTTTGAAAATGTTATTCTATTTCCACTTGACTGGAAATCCTATGCCATTATGCTATTCATTATACGAAGTTCTAAAATTTCCCTGTGCTGGACAATATATAAACAGCTGGTGATACTAAGCTGCCTTTAAAGGAAAAAATTTCTTGGCCTAAAAAAAAAGGTAATATTTGACTCCAAAATATATGAAATCTCTCTCCTCAGTAAACTTTGTGAATAAGTTTTCAGAAATATATATAATGTGTATGTATACATACTTCACATATTTGTCCACATAAAATTTGAATAAGGAAGAATGTGGTTGTAAAGAGTACCTTGGCCATTATGGATTTTTGAGTAGAAACTACTTAAGGATAGAGTGTAAATGAAGGATTAAATCTACACACTTCTCTCTTGGGGACAGACTATTACACAGGTGCCTGCACTTATTTTGGAATCTCACCTGCTACATTTCTTACTTGTTAGCGATAAACAACCTGAGACACTTTGCCTCTTCCAGCTTGCCTATCATTTGAGAATAAACTCAAACAAATCCTTCTTTCTTTTCCAAATACAAACCCAGCCATTGAAAGTTAAGACAAATTAGAAGCTGATGCCTCCTTTCACAAACACAGATATCTGTGTTTCATTTCAACTTCTTATAAATGGCAAGCTTCTCTAGGATATCAAAGTGTGACTCTAATATGGAAATGTTAAAATGTGCCATCTATGTATATACATCTCCCAGACCACGGCTGGTATAGAAAGCCAGGCTTCCCTACCAGCTCTCATGCATCTCCTTTGCACAGTTCTCCCCACAGACCACATTCGCTGCAACATCCCGTGGCTTTCAGACAGCCATGAGGATTCCATCAGACCACGATCCACTTGGCTTGCTCTCTCCCCTTCAGGAGTCACACCCGTCAGCTGCGCATAGCAGCTCCCTGGCCCCTTGGTCCTTTGAGTCAGATTCCTGACTGCTCCAGGTCACAGGTCCCCCAGAGATGCTATTATATAATGAAATAAACTTACTGTTTTCTTTAACACTTTGAGAGCATAAGGCTTCTGGGTCCCCTTCTGTTTGCATCTGTACACAATGGATGTAGCACCCCTTGAGGGGGAAAAAGACAAAAAGAAAATGTTATGCTTTGGACATGAATTAAAGGGATAAGTTTGAAAATAAGTGTCTCTTACAGTTACCCTCTCAAACGACAAGTGTTTATAAGTTCCACTATACATGGGCCCTATATGTCAAGAGTACTTTTTTTTTCCCCAATTGAATACATTTTGTTTAGAAAATTCTAGGTTTTTAGACTGCTCTTTTTAGACCCTCTTTTCCTCTCACCCCTTCTCTACACCAGTAACAAACAACAGGGCTGCTTCATTCAGTAGGCACACAAGTAAATCACGTCCTCAGGTAAACATAATTTTTGAAGAACACCCATCCAAATCAGAATCCTAGAGTGCCTAAAGGTACCTGTTGAGTAAAGTAAGCTGTATGACTTCAGGGAGGGGTTTCAGTTCAGGACTCTTGTAAGTGTCCTAACCGTGCATTTGGCAAGGGAGCTGGAGAACCCCCTACCCCTTGCTCTTTTTTTTTTTTTTAACCTATTAAGGAGAATGATAGGGAAGAATGTAACAGCTATCTTCCTATGTTTGTAAGGTTGCTAAAAAAAGAGCATTAAAAAGCAGGACAGTGTGGTACAAACGTTCCCACTCCACACACAAAGCAAGAGAGTAAGAGAAACAGACAAAAAGAGAAGTACAGACCAAACAAGCTAAAGTTTCAACTTCAGAAGGAGAATATCTGGAAGTATCTTAAAATAAGATCAGCTTGAAGTAAACCTCTCAGACTTTGAAGAGCAAGCCAAAGGCCCTCTTGTGATATATTCAGTCCTATGGTTCTGAAATTCTAGGTAGGCACAAAGGTTTATAAAAATCAAACACATATCTAGCTATCTAAGCACAATAAACTTTTAATATAGCCAAGAGAAGTCGGTTCTAGTGGGTTCTATTTACCAATGGCCAAAAAAAGTGTTACTATTTTTAAAGATCTTTGGTAAGAAAGGACATATACGCAAGATAAAGTGTTCTAGAAATAAAATAAGTGACAATAAATATGAAATTTACTTTTTTTTTACATTTACCTGCTTTAAAAGATAACTAAAGAAAATATATTTTTAATATCTTTATTTTATTTATTTTTATGTGGTGCTGAGGATTGAACCCAGTAGAGCAATCACCCAGCCTCGCACATGCTAGGTGAGCGCTCTACTGCTGAGCCACAATCCCAGCCCAATTAAAGAAAAATATTAACAACACATTGCATTCAAAGCATATGTAAAAGTAAAATGAATGACAATAAATGAAGAATAGAAAAATAGAAGTTGGTAAAATACTGCAGTAAAGTCTCTCTGTGTGAGGTGCATGATATTATTTAAAGATAGATTCTGATTAACTAAAGGTTGGTATTATATGACCTCGCACAACGGCTAAAATAATTATTTAAAAGAAAAGTCAATAATAAACCAATAATAAACCTAAAATGCAAATAATCAAAAATGCAAATCAAAACCACAATGAGGTTTCATTTTTCTACCTTTTAATTTAGCTGTTTTCAAAAAAGGTGAACAATCCCAAGTGTTGTTGAGGGTGTGGACAAAAGGAAACCCTTGCACAGTGTTGGTAAGAGTGTAAATTAGTGTAGTCATTGTAGAAAACAGTATGAAAGTTACTCAAAAGATTTAAAAAATAAAACTGTGGTAGAACTTATGATCCAGAAATCCCATTACTGGCTATATATTCAGAGAATGAAACCAGCATGCCAAAGAGCTCATTCTCTCGAGATCATTGTAGCATTACTCATAATAGCCAAGATATGGAGTCAACCTAAGTGTCCATTAATAGATGAATGACTAAAGAAAATGTGTTATATATACACACTGGAATACTACTAAGTCTTTTAAACAAGAAATTCTTGCTATTTTCAACCACTTGGATGAAGGTGGAGGACAGTAATGAAACAAGTCAGACACAGACAAATATTGCATGATTTCACTTATATGTAGAATCTAGAAAATGTGAACTCATAGAAACTGAAAGCAGAATGGTCAGGGATTTGGGGGATGTTGCTCAAAGGAGACAAGAACGATGTATTATATCTTGAAAATCACTAAGGGAGCAGTGCATGTGTTAATTAGATTGAGTTAGTCATATCACAGTGTATACACATCTCAAAACATCATATTTTATGCCATAGAATGTATAATTTTTAATTATAAACAAAAGATTTTATCAAAATTATATTGAGATTTCAATTGACTCCAGTAAGAATGGCAATTATCAAGAATATAAATAATGATAAATGCTGGTGAGAGTGTGGGAGAAAAGATACACTTACACATTGTTGGTGGGACTTCAAATTAATGCTATCACTCTGGAAAGTGTGTGAAGAATCCTCAAAAAAAAAAATGGACCCAGCTATCCTACTCCTCAGAACTAAAATCAGCCACATCCAAGTTTATAGCAGTGCAATTTACAATAGCCAAGTTATGGAACTAGCCCTGGTGCCCATCAGTAGCTGAATGGATTAAGTAAAACTCCATTGTGTTAATGGATTAACACAATGGAGTTTTACTCGGCCATAAAGAAGAATAAAATTGTGGAATTTACCAGTCAGTGGATGGAAATAGAGAACATCATGTTAAGTAAAATAAGCCAGACTCAGAAACTCAAGGATTAAATGTTTTCTCTCATATGCAGAAGCTAGAGCAAAGTAAGGGGGGTAAAGAGGGGTTGGGGGCAGATATCATAAAGATATAGGGAAGTTCAGTGGAGCTGAAGAAGGAGATTGATGGGAAGAAAGGAAGAACAGGAAACAGGAGGAAATGCAGAAGGAATTTGACAAAATTATGCTATGTGAACATATAAATATGCCACAGTGAATTCCACCTTTATGCAAATCTATAAAACACCAATTTAAAATGAATAAATAAATGAGTAAAGTAGAGAAAGGAGAAAAAGGGAGAGAAGTTGAGAGGGAAAGAGGAGGCCACGAGGGACCGAAATGGAGTAAATAAATCCCATGCATTATGGTTATGTCTCTATGAACTTAATTATTATTTATAACTATAATGCACTAATAAAAACATTAAAAATAAATAAATGAGAGTCTTGAACATATATCTCACCAAAGAAAATATATGGATAGCAAATAAGAATGTGGAAAGATGCTCAACTACATTATTCATTAGGGAAATACAAATTAAAACCATAAGAAAATGGCAACTACATACCTATTTGAGTGTCTTAAAATAAAAAGACTAGCAAGGATGCAGAGCAACTAACACTCTCATGCTTTGCTGGTGGGAATGAAGAATGGTGCAGCCACTTTGGAGAAGAGCTTGGCAGCTCTTAAACATATCCCGGGACCCATCTGTCTCACTGGCAGATATTTATCCAAATGATATAAAAACTGTGTTCATTTACAAACTTGAACACGTATCTTCAGAGCAACTTCATTAGTATTTATCAAAATCTAGAAATGCTCCAACATCCAACTGTGAAACAGATCAACAATCTACAGTATATTCATACAATGAATTTCTACCTAGAAAGAAAAGGGAATAAACTAGGGTGCTCTTAACAACCTGGATGAGTCTCTACACAATATCCCAAGTGAAAGAACATCATTTCAAAAGGCAATATACTATATAACCCAATTTGTATAATATTTTAAAGACAAAATTATAGGGATGGAAAATATATCAGTGGTTTTTAGGGGCTCCGAAGTTGGGGAGATATTGACTGCAAGTAAATATGGAGACTTTTTTTTTTCTCATGAGAGAATTGCTCTATATCTTTTTGTGTTGGTGTTTGCACAAATATATTCACTTGTCAAAAAGGCATAATTGTGTAATAAGGTGAAATTTACCATAATTTAAATCATATCTTAATAAAAGTAAGTAAAACATTGTTCTAGAAAAACCATATTGTTCAAAGGCAAGGGCAAAAACCAAATTACCAAAATATAGCCTATAGTATTCATTCCATTCTATTTTCACTTAACAATAGGTAACTGAAGAAATCTTAGAGAGAAAAAATTTAAGAAAATGTGACTTGCAAACATTTGAAGTAAAACCAAAATCTAATTTTTATTTTTATGAATAATTGAAAAAGTTAGCAATTGAAAAGTTAATATTACTCAATAATTCATGTAAAAGAAAATATATTATAAGGCATATATTGCTTAATTTCCTAATCTCATTAAATTACCTCATCAATAAAATTTTCAGTATATCAATTCTTATTTTAGAAAAACCTTTTTTAAAAAATTAACAAACTCTCAAGACACAAATATACTAGAAATAACATTTTAAAGACTGAAAATAATAAGTTAAAAGAATAACCTAAATAGATTTATATGAAAATAACATTTTAGTAATTTCTCAAAAACATAGCCTATATTCTTTGTTGAAATTAAATGGTTGCTCAAGTTTGTAAATATAGAAATGGAATCATGTTTTCAGTATATTTATATAAAAATAGTGTTTTTACATAAAACATATTAACAGTTAACTTTTAATATAGATGGGACATATTGTACATTTTGCATCCTCATTTCAAAATATATTATGTAGAGAGAATTATTAAAAAAATTATCTGAGATCCAAAAGAAGCAAGAGATTATAAAATAGAAGATATTATTTTTATGGGGTTATTCAGCTAAAAAATAATGCTTCACTTTTCATGTCTATTCATTTATAGCATGTTCTTTAACAAAAAGACCAGGAGTATAAAAATTATTCCAGTGAGATCTTTTCTGCTAAGATTTTTATGACAAAGAAAGGAAATCAATACTCTTGAAGTTTGACTTTTATTTTCAAATTGGTTTTCTTTAACAGAAATATTAGGGAAGTTATTTCCAAGTTCTATCCTCATCAAATGGCTGGATATTTTTAAAAACATCTTAAGGCAAAAGGTTAAAAACATAGACCACCACGTTTTTCATCAAACAGAAAGAAGAGAATGTAGTTCAACCTGTAATGTTTGTAAAACTGTGTATAGTGTAATGATTATAATACTGTGTACAAATAACATATTTACACAGTA